GTCTTAGAATAGATACCTTAGAAAACAGAAACGGAAAACAAGAGTTTTGGAATATGTGAAGACATAGAGATCTTGGACATTGCTGACTGGGAAGGTAAAATGTAGCCATGAGACACGGCCTTGTGGTGCCTCAAAATAACAATGTAAAGAATTGCATTCAACTCTTTCTACATCCAGGATTGTAGCGGGTGGAACTGATTCACAAGGACTTTTGGAAATGGACAGAGGCAGTGGTGACAGAGCAGCGTGAACAGACCTTATGCTGCTGAACTGTACGTTTTAGAATCTCTAAAATGGTAAATCTTAAAAATTAAAAAAAAACATTGTGTATGGATGTTTTGCCTGCAGGTATTTCTGTGCACCGCATGCATGCCTGGCATCCTAGGAGGACAGAACACAGTGTTGAATTCCCTGAAACTGCAGTTACAAGTAATGAGCTGCTATGTGGGTGTTGGGAATTGAACCCTCAGTCCCATAAACCATATATGTACACTACCACACACCAAAAAAAAAAGTGTCAGAAAAAAAGCATCTTGGACAAAGAAGCCCCACTGTAAATGCCAGAATAAGGATAAAAATCTCAGTCTATGGGTCGACAAGATGGCTCATCTGGTAAGGGCGCCTGCCAACTACCAGTACCTACTCCCCACCGACAGACACACACAAACAAATGTGTAAACAAATTTGGGTAAGTGAAATGGTTTAGCAGATCCCGAGCTTGTTGCCAAGCCTAACCCACCTGAGTTCAATACCCAGTCTCCAGGCTCCCACAAGCTGCCCTCGGACCTCCACCATGGGCCTGGAACACGCACACAAATGAATACGTGCAAATGTAATAAGAAACTCGACACAAGTCCTTTCTACCTATGGATTTTACACGGATGACTCTAACAAACCCTGGAGCTAAACTACTCAGAAAAAAAAATGTCTACAGCAAAAATATATATATATATATGGTTTCCTGCTGTCCTTGACCATTGAGACTAGTGTCTGTGTAGTACTCGTAGTATGCACTGGAAATAATCTAAAGGTTTGAGTGTGTGTGAGTGTGTGCACAGTATCGTGAGTGCTTTACTGGACTCTAAGGTTTGTGTGTCTGACTCAGACCCTAAACTCTTAAATCACTTTGCATTTCTATTTACGATATTGACGTCTGTTGCTGCTATTACTGACAGGGTCTCACAGTGTAACCTGGGCTGGCCTTGTACTCCTATTCTTCCTGCTTTGTTCTCTCTCTCTCTCTTCCCCTCTCCTCCCCCGCTCCCTCTCTTTCTCCCCCTCTCTCTTCCTCTCTCTCTCCAGGGTCTTCCTATGTAGCCTGTAATTCCAGGCTAACCTGGAACTTGCTATGTAGACAAGGCTGGTTGGGAAGTCATAGAGATCCATGGGTCTCTGCCTCTGGGGTGCTGGAGTTAAAGGCGCCGTGCTTAGCTTGCTTTGTGTTTTACCGTGAATTGACTCGCATCCGTCACCATGGTGGCTGTATTTGTATCTTGTGCTGTATTTTCTCCTTGTAGCTTTTACCCATTTTGCACACCCCTGATAAAGAAATTGCACCCACCCCTCAACACTATGGAGTAAGAAGGGTGGAGAGTCACTCACCTATTATGTCCAGCTGGACTGGGTCACTCAGTCCATGACTGACTGGATTGGAGACTTCACACTGATACTTGCCAGCATCTTCCCTCTTAATAGGGTCTATTCTGAGGGTGCTATTGTTCTGAGAGAGCGTCATCCTGTCTGTGAGCCGCAGATTCTGGTCATTGAAGAGCCAACGGATTCCAGAGATGTCAGTGTCATTGGAGAAGCAGATCAGGGTCACAGAGTCGAGTTCTTTGACTGTGGTGTTGATGACATGGATGTCGGGCTTAGTCACTGGCTCTGTGGACAAACAGAGGAGGGGACCAGCTGAGAGTCCTTCATCCTTAGAGATCTCAACCAGCTCATAGGGCCCACGAGATGAAATGGCCCTCTGTAAGGTCGCAAGCTTGGGTTCAAGATAAGGTCTGTAAGGAGAGAGGCGTAAAGTCCTCCTACCCAGATCACCCACAGTGACCTCTGACTCAGGATATGTGTATAGATTCCTCACCAGGAACCTCTCCATCCCATAGATCCAGAAACCTCACTGGGGGTGGGAGGGATGTTTTTCCCATTGAGTTTTGTACAAACTTTCTCAGCGAGTGTGGTGTCAAGTACCTCCGTTATAAAATAGCTTTCTATTTGGTAGATAATTTGTCATGGGGTTAAGATGGCCCAGCTAATCTTGAAGATGTTAAAGCCTAGACCTCAGGACCTAGAGAAATTCCCAAACTAAAGAATTTCTATGAGAAGAAAGCTGTTACCTCCTTGCCCCATGGATCTGGATTAAATGCCACAGTGAAGAAGTGAATGGCCACAGTGTTGACAACAGCTGGCCACTCTAATGCTCACTACCGATTTCTTTTAAAGACAGGTCTCACTGTACAGTCCTGGATAGCCTGGAACTCGCTCTGTACACCAGGCTGGCTTTAAACTCAGAGACCCACCTGCCTCAGCCTCCTGAGTGCTGGGATTCGAGGTGTGCGCCACCACACGTGGACCTTACCACACAGGTCTCTCAGTGGGTTTCTTGTCCATTCCTCTAAACAGAAACTCAACATGAAGGTTCCTGTTCTGCAAGCCAGTATCCTTCACTGTTCTCAGGGATCACCATGTGCTGGTGTCATGCTGGTGTCCTGAGCTCACTCAGCCGGACCTTTAGAGCCAGGACACAGT